TTCCCTTTTATTCCAGAAGGTTGGTCCTTAAGGGGTTAAATATTCCCCAGCATTATTCAGTGCTTTTTTATGGGGATTCCGGTGACATTGGAAGTACTCATGCATAGCGCGAGGACGTCCAGCGTCATTTAGGCGACCAAAAGACATGGTAGACAACCAATAGAAGACGCGTTAACCCTAGCAGGTAATTATTGCAGTTTCTCAGAAACTGCAATAATTACCACTGTAGGGTTAAGGGACATGGGACATTGCACCCAGACCACTTCAATGAGCTGATGTGGTCTGGGTGCCTACAGTGTTCCTTTAAATTCTCATTTACTGTCTGTTTTCCTCACAGCCACTAGAGGCGCTGCTTCCTTCAGATTGAAAATTACTCAGTCTGGTAATCACATGTGGCTCATAGCAACTTTTGATTAGAGGAGCACGGTGTTTTACTTTACATTCACATCTCCAATCCGTTGCTTCTCTATGAAGCATGCTGATGTCTTCGAAGGCGGTTGCAAAAGAGTAGTCCCAGCTCTGGATACAAGGAGAGTAAAAAACAACAAAAAATACAGGGTGCACTGGGTGGAATAAATAGGGAATAAATAATACAAATATCAAATAATATTTACAAAGAGAAAGTCTCTGAAAATACAGGATGGGTCTTGATAAGTTCTTCCTAAATTCTTGATACGTTCCTCAGTAGTGGATATGAAAAACAAAATTGAATAAAGAAAGACCAATAGTGCTAAAACTGTGTAGGATGGTGTCACGGACAACACAGAGGGAAAAAATGCCAACTCACGATCAATAGAGCTATGCCCAGCTCTAGGTAAAACAGCATACAGTGGTATTTGAAACTCCCCACATGTAGGATATAGCTGGACAATAGGCGATTCTTCAAAGCTTTGTATAACGGAATAAAAAGAGCTATAACCAGCTCTAAGTAAAACAGCATACAGTGGTATTTAACCCAGCGCACCCTGTATTTTTTGTTGTTTCTTGCTCCCAGATTTATTGAAGGTTTTGAGGGTTTCCCTTCTCCTCAGGTATGCAGCGCCATCCACCTCTGTGATCAGTACTGTAGCGCTGTTCCATTCCATACTCTATTTCTTATTGTTATAGCCACAAGGAGAGTAAAGTTTATTTGACTTTAATTTTTAAGCAGAAAGTCTGTGGACAGGAGGGGTTGGAAAGAAGGGACCTTTTAGTGAAGAAATAATGATATATAATAACAATTATTATTGTTATTTTCGAATGTCCCCTTTAATAAATATCATATTTTTTCAGTCTAATTTTATTTGCATGACCAGCTTGCAATTCCAGCACTCTATGAGAAACCTCTGATTTTATTATTTCTCATCACAGACTGAAAATCTGTTCTGGTGAAGAGGGAGGGCTTTCAACGCCTGCAGACAGCAGGTCTGCAGCTTTTCCAAGCTGTTTTTTTTTTTCAAAAACCCCCAAAGAAAACCTGAAAGAAAAAATATGCAAATTGTTTTCTTTTGGGATATGTATAGTAAAGTAAAAGAATAAAAATCAGTGGTGTATTCCTTTATGGTGCTAGTAATGTTCATTTTAACGTTTTTATTTTAAATTCCCTGATGAGGTCAGCAGCCACCGGAAGCCTGCCGGAAAAAAAAATTCCCTAAAAATATTACATTCAGTTTTTTTTTTTTAAAACAAACATGTTAGAGCAGATTAAAGTAATCAACACAAAATATATGCTAAATGGTGCATAGAACATTTCAGATGAACGAGCTACTTGAACCTTACTGTTTGAATAATCAAATCAACAATGTAAAATCTTAATAATAGACAAGTATATTCCAGCTCGGAATAGAATATGCCACATCTGCTTTATACTTACACATACTTGCCTTAATTTATTATTTTAATGCAGTGCAGAATTTGCAGTCAACATAGGCATCATTTTTAATAATAACTACATCATTCTCTTTACTGACTCGATGAATTATCTGCAATCATTTTTCTCCACAGATGCAAAAAAAATGAATTAGTCTTTTGCACAAAGGAAAATACAAACAAAGTGCATTTCAGAGCTAAAGGGGGAGCACTGTAATAATTCACAATAATAAAAACTTGGCATTCATTGTATTTTACTGAAAAAGCAGACGCACATCTTATTTATTATTCTCTAAAAAATACAAAACACAACTTGTTCTTCAAAATGGTATTGTTGATGTCATAGTGTTGTTAAGGGTGGCTGTGGGGGCTTAAGCCAATGATGCGGACCACTTATCCTGGATCTTTTAAGGTGCAAACATAGTATTGCTTTTATCTTTTTATATCGGACAAGTGATACTCGAAAGAAGCACAGATGAGCTTCAGCATAATCCTACTAGCCTTGATACTAAAACGAATAGTGTGGCTTAGTGTGTAGATGTAGTGAGAGAACAAGTTGTGTTAGGAGAAGGGGGAGGAAGATCCAAATGGGGTTAGATGAATATTTGGGAATAGAGAGAGATGAATTCACTCAATGGAGGTTGATTGGAGATAGGAGAGTAGAGGGACAGGTCTAGAGGTGAAGGGTACAGGATTGCAGGGGTTAAAAGGTGACATTGGAGTTCTGAGCCTTAAAACGGGGTTAGCTGTGGGCTAAATCTCCAGTTGTGTTTAGAACGTAGCAACGCACCAGCAGTATCTAACAAAATCATTGCATTTATTCACTAAATTATGAATTATTGGGAATCCAAAATTAATTCAATGTAAATTCCACATTTTAAATTACAATAGATGAATTTGACAAATTCCCAAAGTCAGCTTTGTTGTAAGCGAATTTGGTCTAAAAGTTTAATTTCACTTTGAATTCATCTTCAGTTCCTGCTAATTTAGGCTTTATACCATTACCCCTTTGAAATGTAAATTGTAGAAATTATAATACAATTGGTAACATTTTGATTAAAGGAACATTCCATTGAATTTTGTTGGGCTAACAATTTAGTAGATATACTCCAAAGAAAACAAACAAACACGCATGGATCTCTATCTACGTGTTTTCTTTGGGGTATATAAAAAAAAAAAAACAGTTTGCAAAGTTACAGACCACTTTTTCCCAAGCACGAACTCAGAATTGACCAATCAGAGGCTTCTTATTAAGAAGCCTCTGTGCTGGAGCCGTGAACACAGCTGTGTGTCTGGAGTGGTTCTTTAAAATAGCGGAATTATGAATTACCCTGTTAGTTATTAGCCCTATTAGTTATTTTCAAATATTTCTTCTTTTTTTTTTAATAAATATTATCAATCTGACCCAGCTGTCTATCCTATCTCTCTCTGGGTTATTCACTAACGTGAGAATTCAAAATGAATTAAAAGTGAATTTCAAATTTAAGGTCAAAATAGTCAAACTGCAAAACATTCTATAAGTCAGTGACATTTTCTGCTCAGCTACTCTGGCCTTAAATTTGAAATGTGAATTCCCTGTGTGTTTTATCTGATCCACCTACATGTTTGGTGTTATAAATATGCAGAACATTGTTCTTCCCATGAAAAAAAACTAACTTTAATCTTCTGTGATTTTCCCTTTGATTGTGTTTGGTACAATCATGACAGGGTTTACCAGCAACATCCAACTTGCAGTCCCAGGACGACCTGATAAAAATGAGCGGAAGGATAGAATGTGAAGGACCCAATCGCCATCTTTATGATTTCACCGGAACTCTACGCCTGGACAGCACCAGGTAGGTACTTAGAACAGCTAAAGAAACAGACATACATTAGTTGTTAAGTTGTAAATGAGTTATCTTCCTACATAATAAAATTAATTGAGTACGATTAATCGTTATCCAAAATTAACTTGCTGGTATAATAGAAAAAGGTATTTCAGAGATCATCAACACTCCATAAATTCTTTTCTTATTCAGTACTTTATGTCAATTATGTGAATAGGTTATAAAACATTGCCAAGTCCTCCTGTTTGATCTTTTAGTCCTGTTGCTGTTGGACCTGACCAGATCTTGCTAAGAGGTGCCCAGATAAGGAACACTCAGTGGGTGATGGGAATAGTTGTCTACACAGGCCATGACACCAAACTAATGCAGGTAAGTTTGATAATCTACCACTTAATGTACACTGCTCAAAAAAAATAAAGGGAACACTTAAACAACACAATGTAACTCCAAGTCAATCACACTTCTGTGAAATCAAACTGTCCACTTAGGAAGCAACACTGAGTGACAATCAATTTCACATGCTGTTGTGCAAATGGGATAGACAACAGGTGGAAATTATAGGCAATTAGCAAGACACCCCCAATAAAGGAGTGGTTCTGCAGGTGGTGACCACAGACCACTTCTCAGTTCCTATGCTTCCTGGCTGATGTTTTGGTCACTTTGAATGCTGGCGGTGCTTTCACTCTAGTGGTAGCATGAGACGGAGTCTACAACCCACACAAGTGGCTCAGGTAGTGCAGCTCATCCAGGATGGCACATCAATGCGAGCTGTGGCAAGAAGGTTTGCTGTGTCTGTCAGCGTAGTGTCCAGAGCATGGAGGCACTACCAGGAGACAGGCCAGGAGACGTGGAGGAGGCTGTAGGAGGGCAACAACCCAGCAGCATGACCACTACCTCCACCTTTGTGCAAGGAGGAACAGGAGGAGCACTGCCAGAGCCCTGCAAAATGACCTCCAGCGGGCCACAAATGTGCATGTGTATGCTCAAACGGTCAGAAACAGACTCCATGAGGGTGGTATGAGGGCCCGACATCCACAGGTGGGTGTTGTGCTTACAGCCCAACACTGTGCAGGACGTTTGGCATTTGCCAGAGAACACCAAGATTGGCAAATTCGCCACTGGCGCCCTGTGCTCTTCACAGATGAAAACAGGTTCACACTGAGCACATGTGACAGACATGACAATGTTCTGCTGCCTGCAACATCATCCAGCATGACCGGTTTGGCAGTGGGTCATTAATGGTGTAGGGTGGTATTTCTTTGGGGGGCCGCACAGCCCTCCATGTGCTCGCCAGAGGTAGCCTGACTGCCATTAGGTACCGAGATGAGATCCTCAGACCCCTTGTGAGACCATATGCTGGTGCGGTTGGCCCTGGGTTCCTCCTAATGCAAGACTTCGTGTGGCTGGAGTGTGTCAGCAGTTCCTGCAAGACGAAGGCATTGATGCTATGGACTGGCCCGCCCGTTCCCCAGATCTGAATCCAATTGAGCACATCTGGGACATCATGTCTCGCTCCATCCACCAACGTCATGTTGCACCACAGACTGTCCAGGAGTTGGCAGGTGCTTTAGTCCAGGTCTGGGAGGAGATCCCTCAGGAGACCATCCGCCACCTCATGAGGAGCATGCACAGGCATTGTAGGGAGGTCATACAGGCAAGTGGAGGCCATACATATTACTGAGCCTCATTTTGACTTGTTTTAAGGACATTACATCAAAGTTGGATCTGCCTGTAGTGTGTTTTTCCACTTTAAATTTGAGTGTGACTCCAAATCCAGACCTCCATGGGTTGAAAAATTAGATTTCCATTTTTTAATTTTTGTGTGATTTTGTTGTCAGCACATTCAACTATGCAAAGAACAAAGTATTTCAGAAGAATATGTAATTCATTCAGATCTAGGATGTGTTATTTTTGTGTTCCCTTTGAGAGTGAGAGACAGAATAACAAAAAAAATCCAGAAAAATACATGTCAAAAAAGCTATAAATTGAGGTGCTTCCTGACAATGTACTGCACTAACGTTCAGCGTTTCCACATGCTGCATTGAGGCGCTGAACGTTCCCCATAGAGGTGCATTGAGTCAATTGGTGATTGGTGCAGAGTGCAGTTTTGGCGTCCAGGTGCAATAGCCTCCCAATGCTTTCGAAAGCATTGGATTGGCTGAGATCATCAAGCTTCATGATCTCAGTCAAGGAGGCAAAATGTGGACGGAGCCAGCTGTGACTGGACCTGCACGGTGCTGGATAAAGGTGAGTAGATCACCTTTTTAACCAGAGGTAAGGGGGGTCTGGGTTAATAATAAACTTAAACTACTCCAAGCACCATGAGCACTTCAGTGGATACAATTGGTTATGGTGCTTGGAGTCTGTATGTGCAGTGTTTCACGATAAGACGCAACACATAATGATATATATTATACTGTAACTATACATCTGGCAGTGTCATCAGTGCGTCATTAGCTAGCCAAGAATTTTGTCATTTCTCTTCATTATCTATGTACCCGTCCCTGTGATATATAACCTCCACATTATCCATCCACATCCTTTCAAATTTGGGCAACAATGGCTGGCTGTAAATGCCTGGGGGCAGGGGGGCAGCACAGCAAAAACAGATCTTATATAGTTTTAAATGTGTTTGTTTATTGGAAAATCAAGTTAAAGCGTATTAAGGAAATGGCTCACATTTCAATTTGATGAGAACTGTTATTTTTCATGGATACAGTTACATTATATATATATTCTGAGAGCATGAATATTTTCCATATCATTCTCTATATTTTGCCACACACAATGAATACTCTTGAATACTTATTTTTTTTACACATGTCCTTTTTTTTTTTTTTAATACAGAATTCAACTAAAGCCCCCCTGAAAAGGTCAAATGTTGAGAAAGTGACCAATATGCAAATCCTGGTCCTGTTTTGTATTCTGCTGGTGATGGCTCTGGTCAGCTCGGTCGGGGCGCTGTTATGGAATAGGAAATATGAACAAACCAACTGGTATCTGGACAACAATGGTAATCACTGCAAAATATTCCAAAATATGGCAACATTTACATTGGAACCAGGCACATTGGACTTGTGATATAGTGGTGCTTTGTATTTGTAACCCTTATTCGGCTAATTATAACCGTTGTTCGTAAGTCAATTGGACAGGACAGGACACCTTTGACTCCTTCTGCAGGTCTCACCCATAGCAGTCATATCAGTCCATGGAAACATTTTAAAATGCCTTAAAGTTGTCCTTTATCAGTGTATCATGTCTCATGTTTAAAGAATACAGCATATTTGAGGTTCGGTATATCTGTACAGTGTATATTGTATGAGCAGTGTATTATATTTGATAATAAGTGATGTTTTCTGCACAGATCAGCATACATGATGGATAGTCTTATGTGTTTCAAAGCCTCACCTAGAGTTTATGTATAAATGTGATGATTAAGGTTCTTGCTCTGTGGCAGTCTGTGTGTGACATGGGGTATACATTGGATAATCATTACCATTGACTCTAAGGTTCATTCACTAAATTATGAATTATTGGGAATCCAAAGTCAATTTAATGTAAATTTCACATTTTAAAAGATGAATTGGAAAAATTCCCAAAGTCAGTTGTTTTGTAAGTGATTTTGGGCTTAGAATTAGAATTTTACTTTGAATTGATCTTCAGTTCCTGTTAATTTTAACTTTATACAATTATCATTTGAAATTTAAATGGTAGAAATTGTAATACAATTGGGAAGATTTAGATTAAAGGAACATTCGCTAACAATTTAGTAGCTATAGCCCAAAGCAACAAACATGCATGGATATTTGTCTACATGTTTTCTTTGGGGTATATGAAGCGTGCACAGTTCTTTGCGTGTGATTCATTTGTCCATATCAAATATGTAATAATTTGAATGAATGTGAACAGAATGTGTGGTGTGAAATGCCCCCACAGGGTTGGTAATCATATGTATTCTTGGTGGAGAAACTGAAAGCAGACGAGAGAGAATGTAAATTAAATGAAAAAATGGAAAAAACATTTTGAGTGAAATTGGTCAGTTTGGGTCTAAATAGTGGTGTTAAGTACTACAAGTGGTGCAGTCGCCATGGAAACCAGTGGGACAAGCAGACATATTGCATTGGTGGCTCATACCCTTTTACATTTTTCTGGGTAAGTTCTGATTAGTGGGCAAAGTGTCTCAGTGGGGAGAACGTGCACACTGTCAGAACCATGGCAACACTATAGCTTAATTCCTTACATGGGGAAATAATGCTCAGTTTTTCAGTATATACCATAATTTTGAATATGTTTTTCATTTGCCCTTACTCCATTTTATGATTTTGTTTCTGCGTAGATATGTGTGCTTTATGCTGACACAGTGCAATATAGGGCTCGTATTAAACTATATCATTTGCTATATTATTCTCAGTCCAGCCATGGAGCTAAGTCCCTGGTGAAAGTGAGTGTAAAGGATTTACCTGTACCCATTCGGTTATTTCCTCTCCCTGCTTGTTAAGTGACTTTAAAGTATTCATTTCTATTTCTGTGTTTGGGACATTTATTTGTTCTACCGAACGGAGACCACCAATCTGAACTTAGAACACCATGTAACCACGAAAACCCCAAGGTAATTGAGTGCTTCTAGGTGGCCGCCTTTCGGCATACGAACACATGGCGAGAACAAAGGATGGCGGCCATCTTAAATCTCCCAAACGCGGCCAGCGGGACTTACTCGTGGATTGCCTGGAACCATTTTCGGCATGGCAATCACACAAACACCCGGTCTCCATGGAAGTCCCGTCTGACCTATTTCCACTCACAGTATCAGACTAGCGTTCGAGAGTTTCAATCAACCGAATGAGGGGAGCATTCACATGTAACCAGATACCGTATAACTGTGGTGGTTTTCGTGTAATTCTGCACGAACGGAGACCAGCTCTTGCTACCAATTTCATGGAACTCTAACTCGGATACAACTACATGGCGAGCCGGTCAAACTTCCACACGATGCGACACGAAAACTACCGAAGCTTTTTGTGCAATTTGGATATGTTACTCCCAGTATCCTCAGCTACCCAGGGATGTGTTTTTTTTATATATTCCTATGTCATGTATAAAGTATATTTCTAAAAATGTGGAAAATTGGTAATGTTTCTGGCCAGCAGATAATTGAGTTTAGTATGTTGTTGAAACCCAATTATCTAGCCTGGCCCAGAGGAGGAGTCTATTACTGTATAAATTGAATGCCTTTTGCTTCCAGTAAATCAGTCTTGTTCCAGCATTAAGCTTTGGCTCATGTGTGGATTATTTGGCGATACCAGCGTTATTTTACCCTGTGGATTATTGTTGCTATTCTGCTATTGGGAAAAAGGGAATACTAGACGGTAATACAACTCACTACCGTCACAGTGAGCATTGGTGAATAATTCTTATTGGGAACACCTGGTCTTTCAGCTTTAATAGAATCATCGGTCCTGATGTAGCACTGGCTGTGAGTGGTCTGAAAAGGACCTTTTGATGTTTTTAGCTTTGAGCTATGACATTTTTTACCTTGTAGCCTCGCTCATTCTTTGCCTGTATCTGACAACAAACCCATCGAGCACCACCTTTACTTGGCTTCACACAAGTTTGTCCCCTAATGGCTTTAGTCTGTGTAATTGTTATTGTTAAGCAGTGTGAGCTGTGCTATATATTTGATAAGAGAAACCAGAGCTTGATGCAGTACGGGTAGAAATCTTGCTAATCTATTTATATATTTCCATTACATTTGGAAATTAGTTTTGCCATTCAGCAGGTTTATTTACACATTTTACAACAAAACAAAGTCTTCAAAGTACTGCATAATTTCAGATGAAGTGCTAATCAGATCCTTTTCACGTCTCTCACACAGTTAGTACAATAGTTGCTGAATCTCTCAATTTATTAAGTGTCTGACTTCACTTAAATAGAAAATGTAATGAATCAAACTGCCTTGTGTGCGGTAACTTTGCAACATGGGAAGAATGGCAGAAGTTAACTCCTTAAAGGGGAAATGTTTTTTTTTTTTAAACGAACATTCAATGTTTTAGCACATGTTCTAACATATTGCTTTGTGTGGTTGCAGTTTCTGTAGCCATTTGGTTCCAGTGATGTTTGTGTTTTGACGCTGTTCAGTCATCCCCTTTCCCAAGTTAGGTGTAGTTTCTTGAGTATTGTACTGACAGCAGTTGGTTAATCTGTCTGGGTCACGGCCTGATATGCCTTGCTATGACCAAATGTTCACTGAAATAGTCTTCAGTTTTGTCCAGGAAGGCTGGGGAGAGAATAAAAAAGCACAATATTTTTTTTTAAAGTAGAATTTGTAGAACAAGTTAATTATCCCTAATAGCTAATATCACCTAATATCACTATATCACTAATATCACTATATCCACATATTTGCCCACAAAGTGACTTTATTTTCACACAGTCTCCACATTATCTCCATGTACTCCCTGATTGTTGGGTGGTAATGCAAAATTAACACCGCCATTCCGAACAGTGATAGACAAACAAAAACAAAAACAAAAATCTCACTCCAGAGGACACATAGTATCCCATTGCACGATGCTCGGTTGGATCTCTTCCTGGATTTCTTCAAAGCTGATAAAATAAGAGGCTTTCCCTGGATAATGACAGTACCGCATCCTCACCCCTGTATGTTCTAGAAAACCAGCGAAAGCTAAATGTATCTTTTCTGTTTAAATACGTGGATTTATTCCTATTTATTATTATTATACAAGTTACACTAATCCATAGAGCTATGATTAACTTTACTTTAGCGCTATACCCAGCAGGCACGTCTTTCACACCCAACCTGGGGAACCACAAGCCAGCTGGTATTTATACGTTGTGAATGGCTTGCTTAATCCTCTGAGTGCCACAGGGAAGGATTAAGTTATTGGAAAGGTGACAGGCCGGTCCCTGTAACTTGTCTGAATGTGCAAATCCCATTAACTCGTTGTGTTGCTTACGTGTGCGTCATGTATTGGGACAGCCATATGTCACCACGTGTCACTCGAACACTTTAGCATTAAGAATGCATCCGCTGTTTTCCTCAGTGGGCTTAATACCGTTAAAGCTTGAATTGCCGGAGAGGTGAAAGTACATTGCTCTGGAATGAAAAGTTAACCTTACAAAGTCTCCTGCTGTGGCGTCTTCTCACTTTACACTTGTTCCCTATTCACTTCTCATTCTCACCTGCTCACATATGTATTCCTAAAAAATACACTAATGCAAATATTTATTACTGATCTCATTACACCTAGAACAGGCAGGTGTTAGCCAGAGGAATTGGAGGAACAGAGACCCATCTGTCCCCCAGCCCATGTTTTCATGCCAGTATATGAACACAAACATATATTTCATCCCATCTGGCACTGTGACGTGGTATTACAAATTCTTGTAGGTAGAATGTTAAGAATATCACAGGAATTGCTTTACTCACCAAGATGGGGGATTTCTGCAAATACAAAAATTGTATATTTGGTTCCTCTGAAATTAAAATAGAATTCTAGATAGTGGTCATTGACCCCTGTTTGTCATAGATCTACATTTTCATGTTCTGCACCATGGAACACTCTGGACACATTTAGTTCCAAATCTAATCAGTGTCCCTTCCCGATACACTTAGTAAACTGAAAAAGGAAAGACCCAGTGCTTATGAGGAGATTTGTATTTACTACTAAACATATAAGGTGACGGAGGACATTGTCTACCAATTCAACCCATATAAGCGCTCCCAGAGGATTTTTATATTGGAATAAAGGAGTTCCCAAATCCAGCCTTACTTGGAAACAAGCAATATGCTAAATTTGCTTTTTGTGGTTAAAGATTTGGGCAAGAAACATGTGATTTACATCTGCCTACCTCAAACCTTCATTGATTGCAAGCTCAATGAGCAGGGCCTTCTCCACCTCTAAATAACCTCTTTTTATCACTGTAAAGTGCTGCTGGCATTATATAAATGATAATATTAATAGTAAAACAACGTATAAACTGTTATAAATTATGTGTATCACTAGAATGTAAGTATTTTTTTATTATTTCCATCTGTTTTACTGATGTGTAGCTTTGAATAC